AGTCGATCCAGTCGACCCGGGTTCAAATCCGCCTGCCAGCTCCTCGGGTGTNTGAGGAGTGATGAAATGGGAGGTGGCCCCCCATCATATGGACGGTGTAGGACGTGATAATATCAACTTGCGAGCTGACCAGGAACTAAGTTGATGCGCCGTTGATCCGCTAGATTTGGTTGGATGCTGGTGGTGAGTTGCCGAACCCAACGAATACATTCTGAAGTCGGATGGGGTGACGGATTAGGGTGCCCCTCTAGCAGGGGAGAGCAGGGACTGCCCCGGGAAAGGGGGCCGCTGGCGAAGTTAACCACCCTGTAACAACATACATACATATCCTATACATATTACATATACATGTTACATACATATTACCCTATGGCAGTCCGGAGACGTGTAACTCGTCAGGCTCGGTAGCTACGGGGCAGTTGTCTGGACAGGTTACTCGCCAGCTAGAAGCTTGGTAAATGTGCAACCTTGAAAGTGTCATAATTAGGCACAGATATGCGCGCTGAGTGTGTGAAATGTTATGACGAGGTTAGTTAACATGTTTGCCATCAAATATAAGTGTAGGGAGGCATTATTTGTCCTTACGATTTGCTCTCTACCTACGGCCATTTGGCAGTCCAGAGACGTGTAGCGCCCAAGGCTCAGCAGCTACGGGACAGTTGTCTGGACGAGGTTACTTTTGACGTGCAGCCCCGAAAGCACATTGGGAAGCATGAATATAGCCGGTGAATTTATCATAAGTGAAATTTAGGTTACTTAGGGTGTTTGCCACTTGTTTTGGTGCTCCGATGTAACATGACCATTGGTAGTCATGGTCATGGCCCAAAGGAACGCCGATTGTTCCAGCACAAAGTAGAATATAGTTCATGAACAAATAAGTACATAGGCAAGGTTACCCGAGGCCGATGTCGATCGACCTGGTCGACCAGGTCCGCCAATGTAGTGGGTCCATGCCACAATATCCGAAAGTCGGCTGAAATCATTTAAAACCTTGTCAGATTTACTGAACAAAATTACAACCGACGAGGTTTCCATGCTATTGGCTGACATAACCGCTCATGTACGGCTTTGGCTATTATGGCTTCAATGTCCAATGTCCCAATGTTTTTATGTAGGCAGGTAGTGGTGGGCCACATCTGTGCCACGGTTGTGTGTTTCGTTGTGGATTCGTTACCCGTTGCCCTCTTTCTTGTTCCTGATGCTATGGAGGGTGGCTGGGGCTGGTTGGGGGAGGGGGGCGTGTATGTTTCGCCTCCGTCATTGACGTGCCTGCCCTAATTGTCATGTTCCCATCCATGTGCTGCACGTGCAGCAGGCCTCGGAAGATGGGGCCGACGTCCAGCCGGAAATGGAGGTAAGATGGGGGCGAGGGTCGGGGCTCTTATGTGTTTTACGTGGGGCATCAAGACGCTGTCGTACTATCGATATGGCTATCGGAGTACGGCAGATTTGTTTGATGTAGGCAGGTAGTGGTGGGCCACATCTGTGCCACGGTTGTGTGTTTCGTTGTGGAATCGTTACCCGTTGCCCTCTTCCTTGTTCCTGATGCTATGGAGGGTGGCTGGGGCTGGTTGGGGGAGGGGGGCGTGTATGTTTCGCCTCCGCCATTGACGTGCCTGCCCTAATTGTCATGTTCCCATCCATGTGCTGCACGTGCAGCAGGCCTCGGAAGACGGGGCCGACGTCCAGCCGGGAATGGAGGTAAGATGGGGGGGAGGGTCGGGGCTCTTATGTGTTTTACGTGGGGCATCAAAACGCTGTCGTACTCCGATATGGCTATCGGAGTACGGCAGATTTGTTTGATGTAGGCAGGTAGTGGTGGGCCACATCTGTGCAACGGTTGTGTGTTTCGTTGTGGAATCGTTACCCGTTGCCCTCTTTCTTGTTCCTGATGCTATGGAGGGTGGCTGAGGCTGGTTGGGGGAGGGGGGCGTGTATGTTTCGCCTCCGTCATTGATGTGCCTGCCCTAATTGTCATGTTCCCATCCATGTGCTGCACGTGCAGCAGGCCTCGGAAGATGGGGCCGACGTCCAGCCGGGAATGGAGGTAAGATGGGGGGGAGGGTCGGGGCTCTTATGTGTTTTACATGGGGCATCAAAACGCTGTCGTACTCCGATATGGCTATCGGAGAACGGCAGATTTGTTTGATGTAGGCAGGAAGTGGTGGGCCACATCTGTGCCACGGTTGTGTGTTTCGTTGTGGAATCGTTACCCGTTGCCCTCTTTCTTGTTCCTGATGCTATGGAGGGTGGCTGGGGCTGGTTGGAGGAGTTGGGTGTGTATGTGTCAGCACTGTCTTTGCAGTGCCTGCTTTAATTCTCATGCTCTCA